TTAATCTAATTTGTTCACTTTTTAGTGTAGGGAGCCTAATTTTCCCATAAGTAAATACTACTTACTAAACAAAAAGGCGCATAACGACCCTTTTGGAACACTAATTCATATTATTATGGCTCGACTAAATCAAGAAAAAATATGGTTATTAGTATATGTTGACATTGGACAAAATAATGTTATTTATACAAAATGAGTGATAAGTTGTACGTCTAGTGCTATCAAGAACCAAATATGGCTCATACATAATTCTGTCAATGCACGTCTATGCCAACTGATATGAATGAAAAATGCATATTTTTTCTTCCTTATTTTATGCGCTTGTATGTTTATTTTGTACCAAAATATAGTCATTACGTTTTATATTTTGATTTAGGTGGCAATTCTATGGATATGGCGTAATTTGGAAGAAATAAGCGAACAATGGTCAAAATGAAAGAAAACGAAGTTTGGGGATCGAAATGCAAATACACAAAAGTTGTGTCAAACCAAACGATGAAAATTTGAGAGTTAATTGGTTGAAAGAAGACGTCAAATGGATGAAATATCGCCAAAGTATGATCACACATCAATTTTCAATCGAAAAATTATACACAAGTTTTCAGTCTCATATTGAGACCCATGTTTGACACGGTAAACGATTGAATTGGAAGATGATATCTGAAGCAAAGTTGTAACCTTTGAGTTAGCTTTTCAACTTATCTTGAATCGTCTCAATCGGATATCGAGAGAGAACGTTACGTCAAAAAATACTTAGAGCTGTTCACCTGCCGAAAATTAGGCGAGGCGCGCGCCCCAAACTAAAAATGCCTTGCTTGAGGGTTCCAAACCCCCCAAGGCGCGCGCCTCAAGGCTAAAAAGGGAAAAGATCCAATTTTTTTTATTTTTGTTTAATTACTTATGGAAACTTTTTGGACGCGTTTTTCTTGACCTAAATTCGACCAGAAGACATCAGAACGCCTCTAACCTATTTTCTCTCTATTTTTATTAGATTTATCATGTGTAACTAATTCTTGGTGCCTGATTGAAGGATACCGAAGCCTTGGAAAAGATTATAATTGTGAGATCCACCTATTTTCATTGTTTAATTTATATTTTCAGTAATGAATATTCTTCTATGCATAGTTTTATAATTGACATGTTTGATTGCTAAGAGATCTATTAATTTTTCATATATTACAATCTATAACTAAGTTAAATCTCAAATCCGTAATTGTTTGAATCATTTAACTTGTGAAGCATTAGGATTTGATAATTTTTTGCGATAAATGTTATTGAATTTTAAGAAGAATATTTAAATAGATTGAATGCAACCGCTGGTGTTTGTATTATCTAGTTCATCAATTTCTCTATTATTTAAAACTGTTATTAAATTGAATCTTTAGGGATGGTCTGAAATTATTTGATAATTAGGGTTAATTAGAACGTTGGTTTCTGATTAACTAAAATTAAGGAGAAATATGAATTTATTCCAACGATGAATATTGTGAATGTGGATTGATTATTTTCTCTGGATTGATGAATGGTTATAAATTTTCAATGGTGGAAGTTGATTTTGATTAAGACTCGTTTAATTGATTTAATACAACTCATTAATTTAAATTGTTATTTGTTATAAGATTGATTTCGTTATAAACAAAATTTCACCAATCGTTATACGAAGCATAAATTGTTGAATTACACACTTTTCGTGGGATCGACCCTTACTTCCATTAGTACATTAGTTTTAGATATTTAAGAACTATTTTTGGGTGCCTACGACAGCACACCACCAACCAATTAGGAATCATATTTCAAATTGACTTTGGACTTTAAAGATCAGCACTAGAATTTGAAACAAATTGGATTTCAACATGTAGTATGCATGGCTTCGAGTTATGCTATATGTATACCTATTTTACATATAATTTGACATCCATGTGAGTTGACATAATTCTTTATGTTGATTTTAGCAACAATTTTGCCAAACAATGTCCAGATTTTTGACACATAGGCAGACGTCAACAAGGGTAGCAAAAATGGGTGTACAAATGGCATAATCCCTTCTTTTATGGTGATAAAAGACATTATCAATAGACACAAGTCATTGAAAATTTTACAATCATGCTACAAGTACAATTTTTTTGACATCAAGTTTGACAATGTGCCACATGTTGAAGGTTGAGTGGCCAGTTTTTAAACACCACACACTTTCCCGCCCATACGAATTTGAATTAACATAGATTGTCAAATTCCTTGTCAACCATGGATTGTACACAAAGTATTATTCAAAATTTTATAGGTGAAAATCTCGCAAATAAAATTGGCAATAAATGAATCTAACCATGGGTCCTCTTCGATGACTTTTATTACAATGCAAACTCGTTAGTAATTACTGACATATTTATTACAATGGCAACCGAACATCAATCATCTCGTTAGTGTTGAGATGTTGTGGTTGATAGCGATATAACGTTTCCAATGGTGATTTTTAGTCAATGTTTGTGGATTTTTTAGTATCTGTGTCTACAAGTAATACTGATACAATGTATATAGAATCTAAAGTAGTTATCAAGATATGAGTACAAATGAGAAAAAAAAAAAGACACCCCAGTTATATCAAAATCAAGAGCACTAAAATCCTAATATGTGTGCGTACATATCGCTCTTAGAGTACAAGAAGTGGATGAAATGTCCTGTTTTGACTGCAGCATATTAGTTGAGTGGCCAATCTTGTTCGAGTCAAGCGGGTGAACCCCTGTGATGGTTTTGCATGTTGACGTAGACAAGAGATTTTTAAACTTGAGCAAGAGTAGGATAATGATACGAAAGCATGAAAAGAGAAGTACAACAAGAGCAAGATGCGAATATGCGTCTCTCGTTGCAAAACCGAGAATGTCGACCTTGAAGTAAGTAATTTTTTCTTTATCATTTTTAGGGTTTTGGTTTCCTTGGAATTTCTTAGTGTGCATTTGATTGCGAGTATGAAATTTATATGGAAAGAAGATAAATTTTATGCAATTCAATTGTTTAGAAATTATTTGTATGTAAATTATTAATTAAATATATTTGATTGATTTAGTTTTTAATCTAGAAAATATTATACTTATTCATTTTTTATTAGTGAGTAGATGAGAGAAAGGAGATTGATGAGAAAGAGAAAGAGAAAGAGAGAGTAAATAACCTTAAAAATAAAAATCATCTCTCCCTAAAAAAATATTTTTCTCACTTTCAAGAAAAATATGGTCATGTGACCGAAATTAGGAAAATATTTTTCGTTGAAAAAATGGCAATCAAACAGTACAAAAGTAGAAAAATAGTTAGAAAAAAACTCATTTTCCATGAAAATATTGATAATCAAACGCACACTTAGTTTCTCACATAACAAGATTCTTGTTGCGTAAAGTGAGAATGGGCAATAGAAAAATAAGAACTAGAACACATAAATTTACGAGAAGATTCAAGACGAAAAAAATATCACGAGTAGATGAGGATAAATCCATTATATTAAAGATGAGTACAAGAGATCAGTGATTTGACAACTACTCAAAATATAATACAATGAAATCCTAACATACATCTCGACCCGATCCCTAGCCCACTTAGAAAATTCTCATAATTTTGATTGAGAAAATTACCTAAAATCCTTATTTTCAAGATTACATTTCAAAAATAAGGAAGGTGAAGTTTACAATTCAAAAATCAGGTGGTAAATACTAATTTTAAAATTAATTAAAACAAATTAATTACACCTACCCATTCTGGCACGCCGACACTTCTTTTACCCCATACCTGATTCAAACCCTCCCACCCACCCACACACACACGCACACACACACTCTCTCTCTCTCTTTCCCAAAAATTAGGCCGGCACTCTCTTACCCAAAAATCAGATCGGCGACTTCTTCCCCACCCTTTAGATTCCGCCCACTTACCACTTCTCTCGCCGAAGTTTCGCGAGACCAGTCGCCTACTGAGATTGAGGCATCTCCACACTCTTGCTAGCATCACTAGTAATCTAGCAACAAGTTGAAAGTTTCCAAGGGAGAACGAGAACGAAAAGGGAAAGAGGCGACTGTTCCGGCGCACGGTCAGCATCAACCCCTTCCCCACCGGCGATCTTCTTTCCCCCTCGTGCCTCTCCGACTTCGTTGAAGTATACCGAAACCCTAACCTAAGCATACCCGACCCATTTTCCTCGGACCCCCTCTCCACTTTCCTCAGCCACTTCCTGTTACCTTCTGCGTCCACCCGTGTTATCCTGCAAAACCCAAGAGGACAGCAGAAACAAGGTTCTTCTGCAGCTGCTAAACTGGATGTTGAGAGGCTAAAAGTTGAACAGCATTTTTATGAATTATATCTCTATTGAGTCCATTATGAGTTTATATTTAAAAAAAATAAATCTGAAATTCCATCCATGATTTTCTTTTCCTTTTTTGGAACAATGGATGAATTAGAAGACCCGAGATTTGGAGAAAAAGAAAGGAATCATCAATCCAAAAAGAATCAATATTTTCTTATGTATTACTTAGCTAAATATTTATTGTATAAAAAGCCTATGGGAATTGTTGAAGAAAAGAGAAAATGTTAAATATGCTGTATTGTTGGTGATTAAGATGACGGTGTTGAGGAATTTGTAAAAAATTGTTGTTTTAGTTTTAGTACAAATATGTGGATGAACTTTGCATAATTGATGGGATTGTTGGTGATTTATTCACTGAAGTGATAACAGTGTGATTTGTAATGTCTGAAGTTGGAATTCTGTAAAAAGAGTGAAAGATGTTCTATAGTTTCTTGATAATGTTTGAAGTTTGAAATTATCAAGATATCAAATGGATTGATCGTAAATTTGAGTTGAAGGTGGTAGGGTGATGCATTGGAGGTAATGGTGGTGATGAATGGTGGTGGATTGTGGTGCTGGTCCGTGGTGTAAGCGGATTTGTTTGTAGTGACCATTTGTGACCAAATATGTGTGTACTGTGACTGATTGTGATCAATTTTTGTGTTAATTGTGACCGATTGTGACATGATCATATACGGTCACAATTAAGATTTGATTGGTCACATACAGTTACACTTAACACAAATTTGGCCACATTTAGTCACATTGAATACACATTTGGTCACAATTAGTCACAGATAAAACCTGTCAGCGGCTTGATTATATAAAGTGACTTGACATTTTTTCGGTAATTTTTTTAGGAGGTGCAGGCAGGGGTAGGGTGGTGGTAGGTGGATCCATGGGTTGGGGGTGTGATTTCCAATTTTTAATTTTCTGAAAATCTTGAAACCGTTGGAACAGTCGCCGGAGTGGCAATCGGAGCCGTCGTCGGAGCAGCCGTCGGACCGTCGCCGAAGCAGCTGCCGGAGATGGAGGGAAGGTGGTGTAGTGGGGTGGGTGAGGTGTCATGTGTGTAAATAATTAATATATATTATAATTTTATTTAATATTTAATAAATTTATTTACCACCTAATTTTTGAAATAATTAGACAAATTTGTTAGTTTTGAAAAGTAATTCTTATATGTAGGTGTGTGTATTGTTCCCATTTTGATTTCACCACATATGTCGTACCGCAAGCTTTTGGGGCCGGGCCAAACAGAATATGGATTATTGTAATTCTTTTGATTGGTCTTTTATGTGGATTACGTGAAAATTGGAAGTGTGTTAAGAAGATTCTCTCAAGATGCTGGAGCATGGACATATTTGTTTAATTCTTATTTTTCTTGAATATATTGAGAAGTTACTTTCCAAAGTTAAATTATTTAGGGAATTTAGTTGGAAAATTATCTATTGACGCCTTTCATTACTGATTAACAACTTGTGAATAAATTGGAATAAATTTATCGACAAACTACTTATATTGCTATTATCGACGGTTTAGCGACTGTGAATAATATTACCAATTGACATTTCCATCCATCAATTATTTTCAACGACTTTTAATACTGTACGAACCTACCAATAATTATCTATGGAAAATGATTATCGGATTATCATCGTTTTCAAGATATGAATATAAATAAACAATTTTTTTTAAATTTTTTACCATTTATTCTACTAGAAATACCTTGATATGCGTCTCGGTTGGGCCAGAATATACAAAATGAAGGATTTAATCTTATCTAATCTTCTAATAAATTCCTCAAGCATGGAATAAAAACAATCTCCAAAGCTTTTCTTTCGTGAAACAAATCAAATCCAATTATTTCCAACTAAACGTCCAAAGGACCAAATATGAATCTTCTTCTCTTCCATGATTAAGTAAACTATGGTATATCGATTCGCAAGTTGCCTCTCGATATAGTCCCTCAATAGTGAAAAAGAATCCTTATTGGATCGAATGACAATTGTAAAGTGCCCGGCCGTCTCATCAAACAACACACTTGGGGGGTGGACAAAGCATGGATTATATTCTAAGTTAAACGAATCAAACTTTTAATGGAACTTTTTAGGTATTGTCTTTAGACAAAAAAAAAAAAAAAACTAGGTAAAGGCCATCTCATCGCTAACAAAGTTGATTGGAGAGTTATTTATTATGTTCGTTTAAAGCTAGATATTGACTTGACCCGACCCCTCCACCACCATTCCTTTACCGTCAAAAAGCTTCTTCTATCCAACGTGAATTAAAAAAAGCTGACTTTATATGTATCACACCTATAAATTACGTGAAATAAGCATGACAGAGATAGTCCCACATGACCGACTCGACATCTATTATTTAATTGGATCGGGACTATTAAACTAAGCAATTACATTTTGGGCGTGGGTACGACCCACTAACCCACATGGCCCATTTGCGTTCTCATACATATACACGCAAGTTTATTGCTCACAAAAGGCATGAAATCTGTAATCCTAGTCAAACCATCTATCCCATCTCTTGTACTATTTTCTCTCTCGTCCGACTATTGACTTAATCGTAGGAGTGCAAACGATCGCCAAAATTTTTTCTCGATGGCAGCATTTGCACCCTAACGGAGTGTTCCAGTTGCTAGTGATGCTTACGTGGGGGAGGAGTTGGTCGAGATTCTGTTGGCCACGTGTCCGTACAAAAATCGAGGTCGTCAACATGCAATTTAGATCCCATCCTTTGACGTTTTATACACCACAAAACTGATTTCTTCGCTTCAAAGATTTGAACACCATCAAAAAAAATTCTCATTAGAGGTGTTAATTTGAAATGCGCAACCCCAGGATCGGGCGTGGCTCTCCCTGCCACATCTTGCAGGGGCTGGCCTTTTTTTCTTCTTTCATTTTTTTAAAGAAAAATCTACGTTAAAAATAATAATCTTTTAAAAAATCTATCCATAAAAAGGGCAGTCTTCTACTTTATGTCTTACTTGAAAAGCTGTGAAGTAATGGAGGTATGCAACATATTTATTCGCTAGGGTAGGCAATGGACTCTCTGGACGTGTTTAATTTTTATATAATCTAGAGAAGCCGTGAATATGACATATATAAGTTTGTTTCTTCTATTTGATTTATAACTCGAGAATACATGTCAATCTAAAATATGATATAGTTGAATCTTCTTCTCTTCCTTGTAAGTGATTGACTAAACCATATATCGGTTTTGCAAGTTGCACTCTTTGCGTAGTCACTCAAGAGTGAAAGAATACCTTAGCATTGATAAAGAACACAATTTGTAGGATATAACATTGAAAATATTCTATATTAACTAATCAAGAGCTTGTTTGGTATTGATTAAAATTGAAAAACTCGTCGTTATTGTTGACTTTTATTAGACAAGTGAGACCCAATAACAGCTATATTTTCAATTTTAATTGAATTTTAATCAATACCGAACAAGCTCCAAAATTTGAATGGGGTTCTAGGTGCTTTTGCTTTGACTAAACCCTTGTTTAGTTTAGCTAAAAAATTATATATTTAGTAGATTTTCATAAAAAGTTGATGAAATGAGTGATTGAAAAATTAATAAAAATTGTAGATTTCATAAAATGTGTGACTGAAAATGAATTTGAGAAAAAAAAAATTAGAAAATGAGGACCAAACATGAGGAGCTAAATATGAATAGGTTAAGATCTTACCAATTGTCCAATTGTTGAGTTGATTTGAGAATTGATTGTATAGTCGTTTAAAGCTAGATATTGACTTGCTCGACCCATCCCTCCACACCACCACATTTCTTTATCAACCAAAAGCTTATCTTTTATTGACAAGTTGAATTAAAGGTGCTTTCTTTACATGCAATTGGGATCCCATCCTTGGATGTTCTTCTATTTATACACCACTATAATGAGCCCCCGTTTGATAGAAACTATAACATAGATTTTTATCGAATTTAAAGTTAACAATTAATTTTAATCACATATTTTCTGGGAATCATAAATTTTCAACAACGCATTTCATTAACTTTTATCAAAGTCTTTTTAAAATATAATTTTAATTTCTATAAAAAAGGGCTCGTCATAATGAACACAAAATCATCGAGTTCACACCCTTAAAAACAGTGAAAACGTGGAGAATTTTTCTAGAAAAAAATAGTTAAATCTTGTATTTTGCTTGTTTTTCCTTCATATGTTGAAGGTTAACTTGCTTTTTCGATTGCGGTTCTATTTTGTTTAAATTAAAGTTATAAGAGTTCGTGCAAGTGGAAGTGGTGGTTTTAGTTAAAGGCATTATCTAATATTGCATTTGATTCTTCGTTATCAACTTGGTAGCACATGTATCAAGAATTAAAGAATCAATTCCACTTCTGCATTTACATTTTACTAATTGTATAGAAAGTACTAAAATTTTGGAAAATGATTCTAACCGTTTGGTGCACATTTTTGGAAAATGAATGCATTTTTACTGTTGATGTGATGGGAAATATGTGGTTAAAAAAGAAGGAAAAATTATTGATGTGATGGAAAATATTATTTTATTGAAGAATGTGTAGTTGAAAATGAGTAAAAAAATAAGAATGAAAAAATTAATATGGTTCAAACATGGCCTAACTTGGATCTAGAGTGTGTTTGGTAGGGATTTTTGGGGGAAAAATTGATTTTTGAATTGTGATATGATGGGAAATGTGTCGTTTGGTGCACATTTTTGGAAAAGGAATGCATTTTTACTGTTGATGTGATGGGGAATATGTGGTTAAAAAAGAAGGAAAAATTATTGATGTGATGGAAAATATTATTTTATTGAAGAATGTGTAGTTGAAAATGAGTAAAAAAATGAGAATGAAAAAATTAATATGGTTCAAACATGGCCTAACTTGGATCTAGTTTCTTTTCTAGCACTTAGTATAGATATCAAGTTTTCTTAGTGACTAAGCAAATCCCAAGTGAAACTTGTCCACTTCTATCTCCCTCTTTATATGAGTTCTGCTGTACACACAAGGTCGGTGACCAACTCAAAAACAGGGGCTTGATTAGAAGTTTTACCAAACAGGCCCCTAGTTTCTTTTCTAGCACATAGTATAGATATCAAGTTTTCTTAGTGACTAAGCAAATCCCAAGTGAAACTTGTCCACTTCTATCTCCCTCTTTATATGAGTTCTGCTGTACACACAAGGTCGGTGACCAACTCAAAAACAGGGGCTTGATATGGTTTTCATTCGGGCGTTGATTTGGATGGCCAACAATTCAAATCCAGGGCCGAGACGGCCCCCTGTTTTTGGGTTGGTCACCGACCCTTTTTCTTTAGCCGTTTTGCTCTTTATATAGAATAGACACGGTTAAATATATTCAGCACATCAATCTAGATTGAAAGAAAAAGGATGTGATATAACTTGTATTATGATTGTAGAATGATTCACGATCAAAGATAAAACACGAATTTTAAGACAAGTTATATCACTTTTCTTAAAGGTTTATTTGTCTCCACTACTTATGAATTATGGTGTATAATTGAATTGAGGTGAGGTGAATCACAATGAAGTTCAATTCTTTGTTGTTCATTTAATTGCGTTTCGTATTAACAAGTCTGAGTAAAAGAATGGGACAAAAGTTTTGTCATGATTTGCTAGAACAAATAAGCGATGCTTTTTGAAGAAAATTATTTATTTAGTAAGACCAAGTTGTGGAGGAATGGAAAGAGAAAAAGTAATCTATTTCGTTCTCTACCTTCGAATAATGACAAATCAATTTATTTGTACACAACTTTTACTAAATACCTTATTGAAATTGGAATGGACTCGACTTTTTCAACATTAAAAAAATTACCTAGTAATTTTTAATGTCATCTCTACAAAAACATGAGATTTCCGTAGTATTAAGCCTATATTTGAGCCCCATTATTTGGTAAATACTGTATTTTCAATAGTATATTGATGGAGAATGTGGCTAAAAAATAAAAAAATAAAAAAGTTTTGAGTTTACATGTATTATTATTTATTGAAAAATGTTTAGTTAAAAAGAAGATAGGGAAAAATGTATTTTGAAAATAATGAAAATCAAATAAGCTCTTTGAGTTCAATCTAATAATCAGCCCCTGTTTGGTAAGGATTAAAATAAAAATTTAAATTTAAATCAAAGTCAACAATAAATTTTAACCACATATTTCATGAGTCTCACAACTTTTCAATCACATATTTCATTAACTTTTTATTAAAATCTACTAAAAATCTAATTTTAATCTCCACTAAATAGGAGCTCAATCTAATTTAGTTCAATAGTACTCGATATAATACACCTTTCAATATATCGCGACACAAAAGCATAGATATTTATAATAAAAGGCAAAAAAAAAATGTACTCATTTGTACATGGTCTATGTACTTGCACCATTTTTCTAAATGGCATAGACTATTCTCTTGGAGTTGGACCTGTTATACCTCTGATAAAGAAGCTCCAGATCATCGTCAACGTGGCAGCCAACCAGGCCCGCACTTAACGTCACCCCACACTCGTCGAAGCATCAAAGTGCCGAGGTGAAGTGGTCCATATATATGTCCGCCATTCAATCGAGGCGTCGAAGTGATGTACGCCGAAGTGATATTGGGGGGAACAACACCCAACACCCGATGCTAGGATATTATCACATTGTCTCGTCTCTATTAATCAGGAGATTTTTTATACAAAGATCTATCTAAAATGAAATCTTTATAAGATTGATTGATGTGACGTTTGTGCAGTAAATGTCAAAAAGCCAAGTTATGAATCTACTAGTCAGGAGCACTAAATGCGCACTCACCCAAGAAT